TGGATGGATGGATGGATGGATGGACGGAAGGATAGATGGATGGGTGCATGGATGAATGAAAGCATGAATGAATGGTGGGATTTAGATTTTTTTTACTTACCGTAAATAATGGTACAAGTTTTAAATCTTTCTTTGTGTTTTCAGAATTTCTTGTTAAGATAGCCACATAGAAAATAACCTTATGCTGAAACCAATAAAAATACAATAATGATTTACTGACTGATTTTCAAATCAAGGGATCCAATGAAGAAATAGAAAATTTGTGTGCATGCTGTGTGCAATTATAAAGCATGTGGGGGTTGGCAGAACATGAGAGAAGTGTCAGGAGAAGCTTTTCGACATTTCTCAAATGTTCTCCCAATCCCCAAGTGCTTTATAACTCCATGYAGCACAGCAAACAAGTTTTTTGAGGTGTTGGGATTTGGAAATCACAAGGGTTTGCAGCTGGACTTACCATTGTAATGGCCTCATTGATAATGATGTCTGCAACAGACTTGTGGTCAACAAACTTTAGAGCCTGTTTTCCTGATTTATATGTTGTTTTGATTTGAATACCAATGTTCTTTACTACTGTCACAGATTCTGCAATGCAAACCAAACAGCCATTATTGAAAACAAGAATTTATTATTCTATTTTATATTTAATTTTCAATTGCTTTTCCCAAGAGGCAGGGACACCAGAACTTACAACTTTTGCCAATTACTGGTGCCTTGTAGTGTAAGCACAGGCACTGAAGATAGTTGTCCCTTAAGCCATGTCTTCAGTGGGACTTTTACATCTGCCTTATACAGGGTAATATTGAGAAGACAGATGGGACATGCAGTCCTTGTCTGAGAAGACTCATATTTAACAATTATTTGCTGAAGGCAAAAGTGAATATTGAGGTTGAAATAAAATTTGAAGTGTTAAATAAGGTTTTGCAAAGAGATCAAAACTGGTCAGGAGGACACAAAACCCTTGAATCAATGGAGACCTAACAGATGATGCTGAGTCCAGCAATTGAACCTGAAACCTCAGAGGTAAGAGGCAGATACACTACCTAGCTTTGATTTCCAACTGTATGCATGTACTTATCTGTTTTTCTCATTTTACCTTTTATCACATCAAAGTAATTGTATTTAATCCATAGGATTATTAGACCAAGTAAACATGAAGCAAACAGCCAAGTACTACTTGTGGATTGAACCTGAAAGATAGCACACAAGTGTACAAGTATAGGAGACTGTCATCAACGTATCTGGGGCTAACGTAAAAAATAGGAAGGAAAAATCCTAGGCAAAAGAGTGATTGTCTGTTAATGTTGTTTAACTCATCATGAAAACGGTTTTGAGATTGATCTAAAAATAGAATTATATATCTGAAAACATTTGCAAATGCTTGTAGAAGTAAATGGCCAGTTGTCACATGACTTGGCCACTGATTGCTGCAAACAGTTCAAAACTATGCTGTTTGAAAGAGTGATTAATGCCCTATGCCCCCTATGGGGATGATGAGCTTAATAAGTAAGTAAGTATAAGTAAGTAAATTTAAGATGCCATTTTTACAGTTTTCTGCCTGTTATGGGTTTCCTGTGGTAATTGGGTTTTGGTATTTGCACAAGGTCCCTTATATGCTATATATTTACAACAGTCACTGACATTTAAAAATYCTGTATCCTCTCCTATAGTACCCATGCCTTAGTATTATTAGRAAAGAGATCATGAACAGTACTGCCAACCCCCAAAGTACTATTGTCTTCAAAGAATAATTGTTGCAATTGGGTCAGGATGTTTCTATACATTTTATCGTATTATTGATCCAAATGCCTGGACTTGAAACAGTTGTTTGAAGGCAATAGAGTGTAACTCTAATTTCTGGTATTCTGGAGAAGGGATATGGAAGCACTTTATCATCATCACTGGTTAGCTCTGTAATAGGGGCATAGCAAGGCCCCAATCACATGGGGCTGGGGCAATGTACCAATTTCCTGGCAAATCCAAAGGAATCCCACATGAATTTAATTGGATTTTGGTGACAAAAGCAAACTTTTTTGGAAGGGGGAGGGCATGTGTTACTGGCCCCGTGCCCCCTATCCCCTATATATGCTAGTGCTGTGTAATATAACCATGAGCAGATTCATGCAAGATTCAAGGTTTTCAAGTTTGAAGTTAGTCGAACCAAGAACAAATGTCGACATTAAAGATGACCATTATCTGGGAAATTAGAGGCATAAACTGAGAGTCAGCAGCCCTGCATGCATGGATGCCCACATAGACTTCAGGTTGGTGCATGGGGAGTCTGGGTGATCTTATAAGCAACTGCTCTCACAAAGGGAGGGGGTACAGTAGCTACAGAAGGGAGTGCGAGCAAGCAGTAGTTTAGTTATCACTTGGATGTACCCAAGCTACCCATGCTATGACTTAAATTATTTAAGGTAAATGTACCAACTCACATCTGAAATCCACCAAGTGACAAATGTTGCTCCAACCACAACCAAGAATGACAAAGGAACTAAAAAAACACTCTTCCGAGTAGATCTAGGATACACCTCGATCTCACAAGATAAACTATTGCTGGAGCGGCATTTCAATATTAATAGTTCACCTCTGATGTTTTCACTTTCTAAATGAAAAGATCTTGATTTCATTGAACGTGAATGTAAAACCATCGCTTACTAACTATTGGGGATAATTTGACAAACCGATCTCTAGGGCTGACATTTCCGAACATCGAGTACTGTACTCTTCCGATATCTGCCGAAAATTTCCGAAGCCTCACGATAGGTTTACGGCTATTTACGATTATATTCCGATCGATTCCAATGAAAGTGTTTTCATCGATTGTTTTTAAAGTAAAGAGACAGAAAAATATTTTCATAATTTTATTAAAGTAATGAGACAGAAAAACCTTTATATATTTTTTTAAATTTCTAAATTGTCTTATATTCTGTTTAAAACTACACACTTGGGCTGCCTGTGGTGTGGCAGTTCGAAAATCGAAACCCACGGTGGGATGAGACGAAGATGGTTTCTTTCTCTCTGATCTTGACATCTTGCGAAGTAAAAGTTCATAAATGGCTTTTAACGAAGAGTATTTGAGTGTTTACTGGCAATTCTTTGGTCGTACGTGATGTTTTTTGTCTGACCTTTGAGCTAAAGACAGTGGCGTGACTTGACGTTTGTTATGATTGGCTCAGACTTGGAAAATTACTTACAGTACGACAAACACAAATTATTTCTCGTCTAAAAAGACTTCTACGCGTTTCTTTACGTAGTGCAGAAGTTTGAGCTATGAAATGTTGTTTCAGTAACGACTAAGGGACTTCATGGTGCTTTTAGTATTGTTTTAGAATTTATTTTTTGAGAACAAAAGAGCAATAACAAGAATAATGTCGACCTACAGCACGGCTTTGCAGTTGGGAGCGACTAATGGAAGAACTGTCTTGTATTCGTTGCTGTTTATCACGATAGAAGCTTGTGTTTGGTTGTACGAAGTGTGGAAGAGAGTATCAGTATGGTAAGTATTAAATATCAAATATGTGCTCTTGTTGGATTGGGAAGCTTTATTTCGTCGAAAATAATGATGAGTCAGTCGCGTGCACATGCTGATCAAAGTCTAAATTTCATAAGATTACATTTGCTCCCATTTGCTTATTTTTGTCGAGAAAATCATTGTATTTTGTATGAAATTCGAGACATTAATGTCAAAATATCTCGTGTGAATAATGTGTATTGATTTATTTTAATTCATTTGGGTGTGATAAATGTTGTAGTGTCTTTGACAAGCAATGGATACTTAAAACCTGCTTTGTCACCTCTAGGACGGACCATTAGATAATTGATGGGGGAGGGGAGGGGACGAGGAGGCTGTATAAATACCCTAAAAAATCATTTCACTCAAGCATTTCACCCCAAAAAAGTATTGTTCAGCCTCTCCTTTCAAAAAGATTCAACTAATTGTGCAAACAAACAACAACAACAAAAAAATTGTGCAACATAAATTTCGTTGCTAACACCACTCCCCACCAGATATCTATTGCTGTTTTAACCAAATGGTTTAAATAAATACATGTCCTTGAGACATGATAAGGCCTGTAACATGATCAATAAATCTCTTCATAAAATATTTGACATATATAAAGTGTGTTTATATTGGAGAGGAGAGACATGCTAATGCAAAGTCCTTCAAAGATATTTTATAATAGCAATATAAAATGACTGCTTATGTCTCGTTACTGTGATATAAACACTCTAGGAGCTGAAGAGAACTTGAAAGAGAAAAACTCAGCTACTTCTTATGTTCTAAACTTGCTTCTCTTGTGCTCAACAGCTCCCAGCGTGTTTATATCACAGTACAGAAAAATGTGTGCAAGATTTGTATTCCTTGAATAAAACACCATTATGTACTTTCCCCCTCTAATACCAACACCACCCACTACGCAACACCCACCACTACGCAACACCCACCACAACAGCAACAATGTGTAAATCAAGCCTACAATTCGCCTACGAAAGACGCGAGCATGTTGTATACCATAGTTGTAGGTGAAAATCGTACCGTCTAAACCGGCCTTAAGTATATACAAGGATTACAGAATAAAATTGTGCATTTCGTTGGACACATTTCCTGCAATGTGGCAAGTGCTATTACAGATATGTCGAGACCAACGAAAATGCTTGAGACCCAATGATTTCATCAGACATGCAGGTCCAAGGACAAAGATTGAAAATCGCCAGTGTAATCCATGGAAAAAATCCAAGGGATGACAAATTGCCATGGAAATTTTATTCGATATCTCCTCACAAAATGCCTTACATTATATATTTTACAACCATCCACAGGCCAATCCCACACACATGACCACTTTATTCACTTTTTATGAGGCACAACTGACTCTTATCACATGTTAATTTGTAAGGGGAAAGAAAAACTAGAAATACTGAAAAATAACCAGAATAACTAGGGAAGAACATTACACGTCAAACAAACTCAACTCATATATATGCGGTTTAGTCAAGAATCTAACTCATGGCCCAGTGAGAGACAGCTCTGTAGCAACTAGTCCATGCCACCTATATTCCGAAGCTTTAGAATTAAGAATACCTTCACCAAGCCACCCCAACCCCACCCCTAGTGAATACATTATAGATGTACTAACAATATTTTATTGTATTTTTGTTTGTTATTTTTAGGTTTTTGAATTGTCAAATTTTGATCATAACAAGATGGATGTATTTGAATCCTGATTTGAGAATATTTGTAGATGACATTGGTTTATTTAGAGTGTATAATGTGAAAGTAAAATGGAAGGATGAAGTCATTCTTGTAAGTTAAATGCTGTAAATGAATGAAATATAATTTAATCTAGAAACGATAAAGAGTTTATATTTACAGTACATGAAGAGTACGTACATGAAGTGCACCTCAATAGAATGTTTTCACATGACATCACAGTGGCTCTTTTGGCCAGTGTACCAGAAAAATACATTTTTTTACCCTCTGGGAATTGAGCTCTTTTTTTATGAAAAACTGTGCAGAAAGTTTCTGTTTTTTGCTGCCTTGTCACATGAATGAAAAAGCTCTTTATCTATATTTTTGCAATGCTTTTGTGAATTATTAAAATAGAGATATTTAAAAAGTCAAAATGAAATGCGTAAATGGATCATAAGGAATTAATGTAAAATAGAAGGGCTTTTTCTGTGGTCCATTTTGTAATAGAGCATGAAGGTGAATTCATGGAAGTGCTGAGTGCTTTAAAGAAATGTGAAGAGAAGCACAAGCTGTAGGTGAGAGAACTGTGCTCCATTAGTACGTACTGAACACCACAGTTCCTGACCAATCAGAATGTGTATAGAACAGTTATTGTACATGTTTAGTATTATACTATAAACCTTCAAATGTCTATCATAAAACCTGTCCTCTGATTGGCTGAGCTACTAGTGGTCTTTTGGTGATAGACCAATTGATTGACCAAAAATCAATGATGTACTGTAACAGCATGATCTTGCTTAATTTTTAGAGTGTTGAGGAACTTCATGTTAGTTTGGAATGGAAGCTAACAAACTTGAGGTACTTAATTATTATAGTAATTACAGCTATTTCAATAGGTTGAATRCTGCATACTGAATAGTGCATTCCAAGACCAAAGGGCATTGTGGGTCTCATTAATTTGAAATAAAAAGTAAATATACAGCAATTAACTCTACATGTAGTTAGTATATTGTTTCAAATGGAATACACTAAAAATAGAATACATCATTATTAATTAAACCTACTTTAGACAATATCACTATGACCCACAATGCACTTCAGTCTTGGAATGCACTATGTATTCAGTATGCAGTGTTCAGTAGTCAACCTTTTTGAAATAGCAATTTAGTACAGAATGTATATAATGGTTTCCAATTTGGCCCACACACACTACCTCTCCTGAGCTATACAACTCTTGACACTCTTGACTCACATGTTGATTTTTACGTATGGAGGGAGAAAAACCAGAGAACCTGGAGAAAACAATACATCAAACAAACTCTACTCACATTTTGACACCGAGAGTGAACTTGAGCAACTTCAGTAACATTGGTGAGAGTTTCTTTCATATAATCAATAAGATGTTCTGATCAACCTAGTGGTTGTAGCATTTGACTTTTGCAAATGATTGGAATACAAATTCATATAAAAAATATTTTTTGTTTTTCTTTTTAGAAATGTGTCTTTCAGATTACATGTGAAAAACCTGTTTAAGGTAATGTATCACACAGTTTTCCCAAAAAGCCTCCTTTAGATGAATGGAAACAAAGGATGTCTTAATGAAGCAACAATTACTATTGTTTAACATCATTAAGATAGTGCATGACTATTAAAAACAGGAAAAAGATCAAACCTGGATCCTAATATATTGATAGGCACCCATGGGAAATTACTTGGGGCCCCGGCCATTACTTTCAATTACAATGGCCCTATTTCATTATTGATATTTTTTTAAAGTCTCATTCATATACTGTAGTCATTTGTTGTTAAACCTTTCAGAAATTAGATAGCCTTGAATTTATGTTTACATTCAACTTGTACTGGAGAATTCTTCCATCACCATCAACCTCTACTGGTCTAGAACACAACCAAGAATTAAAAGATGAGGTTAGTTCTGTAATGTATACTGGCAGCCTCTGTCTCAAGAATAAAAGACAGAACTTACCATTTAACAATATTATTCGCTGAAGGCGAAGTGAATATCAGGGAATATTTACTGAGGCGCGAGTCTTCGAGACGCGAGTCTTCGATATTTACTGAGGCTGAGGCAAATAATTGCTTTAGTATAAAAACACAGCCTATTCTTTAAAAAAAAAAGAAAGAAAGAAAGAAAGAAAGAAAGAAAAAGAGAGAAAAAAAAGAAGATAAAAGGCATTTTTTTCCAGCAACAGCAACAAAGCGGCTGGCCGCCATTTTGGATTATGGCTGGAGCTGGAGATGATTATCGTGTGATGGTGTGAGTTTCTTGACCAATCAGCATGCAAGATTTTCAACAATCACCTGTGTATTCTTACTTATAAAAAATATTGACCTCAATATTTATTCTGCAAACACAGACATTTCAATCGGGTTGTTGTAAAGTTGTTTTTATTTTTATTTTTGCCAGCTAAAAATAAATATGGTACTGACTGATTATTTTTTGCTTGATGGCATCAAAAAAACAAATTTCAGCATGCAGCTTGGTACTACTGTACCAAGTTAGTTTGCAGAATATCAAAAAGAGCAATACAGTATTATCTGTAGTATGAGCGGTGTGTGTCACCTTTGGACATCATCATGCCTTTTTACTGTTCAGCGGTTATATTGGCTCAGTCCCTAGACAAATTTCAAAAAAACAAATTTCAGCATGCAGCTTGGTACTACTGTACCAAGTTAGTTTGCAGAATATCAAAAAGAGCAATACAGTATTATCTGTAGTATGAGTGGTGTGTGTCACCTTTGGACATCATCATGACTTTTTACTGTTCAGCGGTTATATTGGCTCAGTCCCTAGCTGGCACTGAGATGAACTGAGATGAACTGTTTGTACATGGCTTTAGATAATGTTATTTATTGTATGTTTGTGCATGTACTAGATAAAGCCACAGTTAACAAGACTTCATGCAACTGATGGCAGAATTGTCATGCGCCTTTCAAGAGATTCTGTATCATCAAGACCGTCACCAAAAATTCTTTTAAAGGTAATGCATATTATGATTTATAACTATGTGCAATAATATTTGATRATTTTTCTTCTTATACAGTACTTGTTAACAGATTTTACTATATGACACACTCAAAATCCTGTGTAATACACGGTCAGTGAACCAGTTTTGAAAGTTTTTTATTTTGCTGATGTCAGCACAAGGAAACCTTCTCCTTTTCCTTTGTGCGACTCACGTCAGTGGTTTGAGCTCATGACTTTCAAGTTTGCTTGTTTACAACAGATAATTTTTACTCTTGAAGCTGTATTTTTTCTTGCCTCTTATTCGGCTGTAATACACAGTAATCGTGTAATTACGGAAGCCCACAACTGTCACGGCGAAAGCCAAAAGCTCACGGCAAGAGCCAAAA